TTTAATTTTTTTGCTGAACTCCACAAGTAAATTCTTTTTCTTGTTTTCGTTACAGATTTAAATCAGAAAAAATAATTTCAACGTCCCGACATTTCGTCTTTAAATGAGATTAAGATTTTAATGAAATTAATAAAATTTAACTAATTTTTAGACCAATATAATTGAATCAGAGTAAATTATTTACTTTCTTTACTTTCATAATATATGAATTTAAAACAATTTAATATATAAAGCCAGCCAAAATAATCTTGAGTATATTATTCATGTGTTCAAACTTCCAGTTATTTACTAACTGGATTCTCGTCATTTTTATGGCTCCATATTCATCTTCATGGTTATAGCCCATGCTCACCATGCCTAAAGACAATACCCGGACACAGTGAAGACCAGTCACCGGAAACACGGCAATATTAAAAGGTGTAATATAATATTAAAAGGTGTATTTTTAGCGCTACAGATAAGATTACATTATTCATGTGTTCAAATCTCCAGTTATCTACTAATTGGCACTTTTATGGCTCCTTATCCATTTTCATGGTTATGTTTCCATGCTATTAATATTGATTTTTTCCTTCTCACTACATTATAAATATCAGAATTCAATATGCTCAACTTAAAAAAATCAAGTAAGTTAGTTCTAAACATATATAAATAATTAGCTCAACTTTTTCTACCAAATTATCATTGCTCTTCACTTTCTACTCCTTACATCTTAAACACATTAATAAAGCTAATAATGTGTAAAAAAGTGACAATAATTTAAAAAATATACTTTCATCTTATTCACTGGCGCTATTATCTAGTACATATTATTACATATCCGTTGTGAAAAAAGGGCGTTAACCTCTCTACCCAGTACAACTACTAATTAAAGCAAGAGCCAAAATTGTTTGACTTTCAAAAAACATAAAAAAAGAATTGAATCTCTTTTCGACATCGTCAGCAGATTTAATAGACCAAAAGTTAAAAATTGAAATTGTGTGGGTTTCACTTGACATCCAATTTTTTTGTCAATATCAAAGTCTGTCATACTTTTAGAATTTTTGAATAAAAAAAAGTTTTATTGGATTTATGGATTTTACAAAATAAATTTCATAACTTTTTATATTCAATTAGGAAAAAATACTAACTAAAGTAAAAAACTTTTATCTAAAGAAGATTAATATAATGAAACCTTCATATAAAGCAGCAGAACTCAATGCTCAATAAAGAGAATTATGAAATTTTTGCACCGAAACTAGGAAAATAAAGGAAAATACATGTGAAAATGTGTTGACTCATATAATGTTTTTCCTTAATTTCTTTATGGTTTCAGTTGAAACATAGCGCCTTAAATAATAATTTAATTTAATTCCACTTAAGGCCAATTGTTGCCTTAATGCTGCAAAGTAGTAGCTATGCCACAATTTATCGCTTCTTATGTTATGTGAATGTCCGTATCTTTCGATACTTTATAGACTATGAGATATAGACAAAGTTACTAATATATTTGTATTTCATATCTTCAGTGTTTGGTGATTGCTTATTTTTGAACGAAAGTATTGTATGCAACTCAAAATTCAATTGACCCGTCAACTTCTGTCACAAACTGGATCCTCTAAAATAAATTCTATCACAAACTCGCTTCGATTGTGCTTTATTTATTTTCTTTATTTTAAAAAGGAAATAATATTCAACAGTAGGTAAAAAATCTTTATAATAGAAATTGGAATACAACACCGAATTCTATTAATTTTAAAAGCAAAATCCTTAAAATCTCATAATTCTTAAGAAATTAGGTCATATATTAAAAATACCGCACTATATATGAATTATCCTACGGAATGCAATTCATATTACTAACAAAATAACTCATACATTCCACTCACTCTAGATAGCCAACGCCTGATTTAGCTCAAATATTAAATTAGTAAAACTCAAAGTGCTCGCAAACAGCACCAAAATCTGTTTTGATTTTTACTACAGCTTGTTAAGAGATATTAATATTAAAGTTAAACTTTTTTTTTATCGCTAAAAAAATCGTTAAACTATAAAAATGATTTTATGAACACAATAATTGCATTCCACTTTTAATTAAATAAATTTCTAGTTGTACATATGTAGCTGTATCGGCTATTGCCAAATTTCCATCATCACAAACATTTAGAAATCTTTCCTGGGATATATCACAGAAAAATTTATGTGACATATACCTCTTTTTTTGAAGTGTGATGTGGAAGTGTGATGTGAAGGATAAATTAATTTTTTAAAAGTACTTTAAAGGACAATATCGTCCTTAAATTTAAGACTTTTATGTAAAATCTTATTACTAATCGATAAATCGAAAATATTATATAACAATATTTGTAGTAAATTCTTTGAAAATTCATTGAATGGAAATATAGTACGTATGTGCTTGATGTGTTTTGGAGAAGAAAAAAAAAATTTCAAAAATTTCAAAAAATAATGCCATCCTGAAAATTTTTTTTTCACAGTAAAATTTAAAACTGAATCTAAATAAAATATAAAAAATGAAAATACTGGTGATGTGTTTAAAAAAAGTTTTTTTTTGAAACTTAACGGTTAATATTAGTACTTAAGTATAAATAATTTTAATTGTTTAAACATTTTTTTAAAAGTTCAATCAATTATCTTTAATATGCAGTAAATTTAAATTTAAAGTTCCTACAATTAATGGAGACTGAGATATAGCCATTTGAAAATGTGTTTACTATGCCAATTCTCAAAACCCCATGGCTCCATATCTCCTAATAAAAAAATTATAACATTTTTTCTCTAGATACGAGTCTTCTTATTTTATGAAAGTAGCTCATAAATAAATTTTCAACCAGGAGTTTTTAGCCATAAATAAATTTGTAAAGGAATGCCCCATATATGGATTACTTTTCGTAAGCGAAAATAAAATAGTTATGCGATCGTTTAATTCAGCAACAGTAAAAACAATCCAGATTATATATACGAAAAAATAAATCCAATACACATAACCACAGATCATTGATAAGGAAGGCTTGACAACATCTGAAACAGGAGTATGATGACCCAGAATACCAGTTAATTAAAAATCACAATTTTGTAGTTATTATTTTTCCTATTGTTTCTTGTAATATGTAATAATATAAAAATTTTAAACCGAAATATATAATATTATGTATATATTGAACTCAACATATGATAGCTATTTGAAAGCCAATTTAAAATTTTAATAAGTCTTAAAATTACAAGAAATCTTTAATCAAATTTACTATAATACTAGTAAATAGTGTAAAATATAGTATAAACTCACTGAAAATATTTTTTCTACTAATTGGGCTTACTCTTACTTTAAGCTTATAAAATTTCCCACTTTAAAATATTTTGAACATGTTTCTATAGTACGCAAGACAACATTATTGTTGTTGCAATTCCTTGTTGTTTTTTGAAATAGTCTTTTTGATATAGTATAAATTCACTAAAAATATTTTTTCTACTAATTAGGCTTACTCTTACCTTAAGCTTACAAAATTTTCCATATTAAAGTATCCAGTTTAAACTGTTTGGAGCATGCACAAATGCTTCTTTAATGCACAAGACAACATTATTGTTATTGCAATTTTT